GCACTATGCTAAGAGCTTTATATTATATCTCATTTGATCTCAAGACAAAAAGGATAACATTGTGGAAATATATGTGTGTTCAAGCTATAAATGAGGGAAGTTAGAAGATGCCATGGAGAAATTCCAAGTAATATTACTAAATAATATTAAACATTTTATCTAGTTTGATGGTATGGTTTAGTGGAAAAAACACCAGGTGCTAATATTATCTCCATTTCACAATTGAGGAAACTGAAGCAGACAGATCTTAAATGACTTGCCCAGGGTCACATGGCTACTAAGTGTCTGAGGTAAAATTTGAACTCAGGTCTTCCTGATTCCAGGCTGACACTCTACCTACCAATAGACAAACCATTTCCCCTCTCTCTGCCTCATTTTTCTCATCTGCAAAAAAAAAAAAAGTGTTAGACCACATGAGCCTAAGATCTCTTCCAGCTCTAAATTCTGGTGGGAAAGAACAAGGCCCAGAAACAAGCTCCAGTTCCAGTTAGCCACTCCCACAAAACTACCTCAGCCAATTCCTGTTTTGATGACAACAGCTTGGTTGAACCATGTTAATTTGATTCCTGGGGGACTGTCTGAGTAGGTGCTGGTAGTTCCACTATCTGATGAAATTGAAGTGTTGGTTGGTTTTGATGGAAAAAAAAAAAAAGACTTATCCTGAGGTTTGAATCCTAACAGACCTGTCAAAGATGCCTTCTCTTCTGCACCCCACCCCCACTCCCAGGCCCACCATGGCCATTCATTTGTTTCGGTTTCATAACGTGTTGCAGCAGAACCATGTCAAAGAATTCAGTCAGACCACCACTAATCCAAGTATAGTCATTTATTGAGATTGACGCCTTTCATGAAGCAGGCTAAGTTCCAAGAGGAACCAGCAACTTTAGTGAAAGCAAGACAGATTTTTATAGGGTAAAGATGCAATTACATAATAAATTATAATATTAAAAAGGCAAGAGGTATTTGTTAAAGGATAAGGTAACAGGGGAGGGGTCCCAGCTTCAATGGAACTATACATGTGATTTCCCATAATGCATGCAGAAAAACCCATTGGGGGGGTATGTATGTATGATAATGATATTATAATAAGTCTCTCTATGTCATAAGTTCACCTAAAGGGTAGCTTTTGCTATTACTGCACAGGTGCCTACTTAGGGAAAGTTTCTTTTATTGTTTTGGGGTCAATATCCTGCTTGGGCATCATGGTGGTACTGCTTTCTGGTTGACTGAGTATTGTGGTCCTGTCTAAGACTAGATGGATGTGGTTGTGGTTGAGTGCATGGACACACCTGCTGTTTCCGTGGGAAATATGAGGTCTGGGGGCAGTGGCTAGCTAGAGGTAGTAGCTGGGATCCCATCACATGGACACACCAGTTGTTTCTGTGAGAAATATGAGTTCATGGACACACCTGTTGTTCTAGTGAGCAGTGATGCCTATATGAAGAAGTTAGGATATGGGGTGGGGGAGGCAGCAGTGGCTAGGTAGGGGCAATGGGTTTGCTGTTTAGTGGGGCCAATAAGGAAGTTAGAATATTGGTGCTGGGGGCAGCTTTATTAGGATTCCATCACATTCATAGATTGTGCCCAAGTCATTTTTTACAGACCAAATTAGGTTAAAATACTCATTGTAGGCAGCTCTGGAGTGGGAAAAAATGTCATCAATGGGCAACTGCTCATTGTAGTAGTAGTCTGAAAGGCAAGAGGTGGGGAAAGGAAACAGAATAGGATTATCTCTAAGAGCTGATTGGATAATTAGAACTTTGTTATTTAAATGTATCACATGTAGTTGTTCAGTGGTTTTCAATCACGTCTGACTCTTCAAGACCCTATTTGGGATTTAAACAAATAAATAATTAATTAATTTTTAGTTTTTAACATTCATTTCCATAACATTTTGAGTTTTAAATTTTCTCCCCCTCTTACTTCTCCCTCCCCCCAAGACAGCCCTACAATCTGATATAGGCTCTACATATACACTCATGTTAAGCATCTTTTCCCATTAGCCATGATGTAAAGAATAACTAGAATTAATGGGAGGAACCACAAGAATGAAGCAATAAAACAAAACAACAAAGGAAAAGGAGAGCAAATAGTATGATTCCATCTGCATTAAACCACTATTGATTAGAGAAATGCAAATCAAAATGACCCTGAGGTACCAATCACTTCTATCAGATTGGCTAACATGACAAAACAGGAAAATGATAAATGTTGGAGATGTGGGAAAATTGGAACACTAATACATTGTTGGTGGAGTTGTGAAATGATCCAACCATTTTGGAGAACAATTGTAACTATGCCCAAAGGGCTATAAAATTGTGCATACCCTTTGACCCAGCAATACCACTTCTAGGTCTGTATCCCAAAGAGATCATAAAAACAGGAAAAGAAACCACACGTACAAAAATATTTATAGCAGCTCTTTTGTGGTGGCAAAAAACAGGATTTTCTTAGCAAAGATACTGGAGTAGTTTACCATTTCCTTCTCCAGCTCAGTTGACAGATGAAGAAACTGAGGCAAACAGGGTTAAATGACTTGCCCAGGGTCACCCAGCTAGGAAGTATCTGAGGCCAGATATGAACTCAGGAAGGTGAATCTTCCTGACTCCAGGCCCAGCACTCTGACCACGACCACCGTGCCTCATCACATGTAGTTACTCAGCCCACAAAACCAAGATAGAAGGCAAGTTATGGAATAGGGAGAGGAAACGGACCTGTAATTTCATTGGTTTAGGGAACTCTCAGATGAGGAAATTCCCTTTAACAATCCCTGAAAGAATTGCCTCTGCCTTGCTTTGGGCAGTGAATTGACAGGAATCACACTGGCATTCTTTGGAGGTGGGATTTGAACTAGGGGGTTTGCTTGGCACCAAGGTTAGCTCTGGCAGCATGGTATAGTGGATGAATATATGATAAAAGAACCATTCTTTCTCCCTGAACCACCTCTCTCAGCCACTGCCTAGCCCCTTATAGTAGGGTATGGTATAGCTGCCTTAGTTCTATGGATCATAGGATTTAAGAGCTCTAAGGGACCTTGGTGAATGAACATTTGATCTAACACGCTCATTTGACAGATGAGGAAATTGAGGCTTCTAGGTGAAATGCCCCTGCACAAGGTCACACAGTTTGTAAGGAGTTGAGGCAGTGTGGGCCTCCAAATTAATTTTCTTTCTTACTCCACCAAACTGCTTCTCCCTTTACACTTCCTTTTAACTGTCTTATTTCTGCCAATTAACTCCCCATGGAATTGTAAATTACTCCCTGGGGCAGACGCTGTGTCCTCTTCTCTGGCAACCCCAGCATTACTTAGTAAAAAAGTTGGGCTAAAGGAGGTGCCCCATAAATATGTATTGGGCTGAAAAGAAAAGTCTTCCTTTTGGGGATGAAAGTGTGAACTCAGGCTCCACACACCGTCTTGACTCTTACTAGTTTCGTGACCTTGGTCATGTCTCATCTTTTAAAACGAGAGGATGGGGCCACAGGACCTCCAAGGGCTCTTCTAGCCCTACGATACTATACGTTCTAGCATTATAGGCCCCAAAGGGGTTCCTTTGGAGGGAACAGACTCCCAGCATCTACACTGGGCCTGCAAACTACCACTCCCAGAGCATCTCTGACAGCAGGTTAGAACGCAATTAACATGGATTTATTGGGTAGAATTACTCAGCCAGCTGAGAGTTTATTTACATATCTGAATCCGCCGAACATCCCTAACTATCCCTTCCAATTTTGCAGAGCAGTCCTATCTTCTTCTCCTAGCTTTTTATTCCCCACCCTCTTCTTGCCCTTTCCCTATCCTCCCTTCTCCAGCTCTCTGGGAGTTGTAGTCCCTCGGTGCGCTCCGCCCCTCCCCCTCCTCTAACAGCGCTGAACTCCTTTCCCAGGATGCCCCGCGACAGAGTGAAAGGTTCAGGGGTTTGGGAATTTTTTTTTGGTCTTTTTTTTTTTAAAGAGACAATTAAAAGAAAGAAAATTAAAACTTCGACCTCTCCCCAGCCGCCAGTTTCTCCTCTTGCATGCAATCTTCCAACCACTTGCTTGGGCTACACCCCAGGTACTGCTACTCCTCCTCCCTCCCTCCCTTCCTCCTTCCTTCTGTGCTCCAGGTCGGGAAATGATGTGAATTTGGAGCTGCAATGCTCCACCCCTAACCCCAGCCCCGCCCCGCCCGCTCGCCCTCAATGGAAAGACACTTCCTGTGACAGTTCATTTCCTGGTTGGATGGATGGAGCCGAAGAGGGTGTGTGGGGCGGCGGGGGGGAGGGGTAGAGAGGGGGGTCAATCTCCGATGGTCTCTCCAGCGATCAGCTGAAGCCTCATGCAATCCTCGCCTCTCCCGGGTTACCTTGCAACAGAGTTGCAGTCTGGGATCCGGCGGCGGTGACAATGTTGCTGAATTGGTAGCCAGGATCCTGCAGCCTGGAGCTGTACGAAGTGGGTAAAAAACTGCCTGGATGCTCTCTGGCTGGGTCTGGGGAGGGGGCGATATGCCCGGGGTTGGGGGAGGGAGCGGCCGGCCGCTGTTGTATTAGCTGCTGGGAGACCGGCAACCCTGCTCTCCTTGCCTTGCCTGCCTCTCTCCCCGCCTGGGGAAAATACCGACTCAGGATATGCCTAGCTCCCGCGGCTGGGGAGGCGTTTTCAGTTGCTGTCACTTGATGGGAGGGTGGGGGGGAGTGGGAGGGTGGGTGACCCGGTGTTTTTCCTCACTATGTAAGGGCAGGTGGCATCTTCCTGGTGTATGTGTGTGTGTGTGTGTGTCCGTATGTCCCCCTAGAGAAAGGCAGACGATTTATTATAATTATAATAATAAGAATCATTATTATTTAGTAACTGACTCATCTTCTCTTTCTGCCGTCACAGGTCTAAACTTTAAAAAATCGCTTTCCAGAAGAGGAAGAGAAAATTGCACTACTTAGAAGCATACACATATTATATGCATAAATATATATATATATACACACACACACACACATATATATATATATATATATATATATATATATATATATATAAATATATACACATTCTTCCCTCCTCTCCTATGAGTGGATTTTTCTTGTTATCTGAATAGAGATCCTAGAGGAAATCTGGGGACTTCTTGCTTTTCATAATTAAAAGAAAGAAAGAAAGAAGAAAAAAGCAGCCAGGAACCATTTCATCCACTGCTTGGTCGCTGCCTTCTTTTGCAAGATGAAGAAGTTTTTTGACTCCCGCCGGGAGCAAGGAGGCTCTGGCCCGGGGTCTGGCTCCAGCGGAGGAGGGGGGAGCACCTCGGGCCCAGGGAGTGGGTACATCGGCCGCGTTTTCGGCATTGGGAGACATCAGGTCACCGTGGATGAGGTATTGGCCGAAGGTAAGAGAGAAACGGCTGTGAGTGCTTTCGGAACAATCCTGTTCCTATGCTTAAATTTTCCGGATTTTCAGTAAAAATGAGTAGACTCAGGCCTTTTGAATCTCCTTCTTCGTCCCCTCCCCAATTCCTTGTCCCCAGATTCATTATCCTTGAGTGGTTTAAAACTGGGATATGAAAATGACAGGTACCATTTTTCGCAGACCTTTATTGTATATATGTATGTATTATAAATACGAAAGTAGCTATATTGCACCCTACCTTTCAGTGCTGCCTTGTGGATCAAACAAACTACTGTATGGGAAAGCCCTGGAAAAAGTACTAAGCACTATAAAAATAGGTGGGGGTGGTTGTTGTTATTTCTTTACGGAGAATTTGGAATATGGTGATAGGGGAGATTTGAGGAAGAGTTGGAAGGGAGGAGAGAGACCCTGACTTTCCTTTGCTATCAGTAGACAATCAGAAAGAAGAGAGGCTTTTCAGAGGAAAGGGAGTCTGTTTTCCCAGATGCACAGAACCTAGCGCCAAGGCTCTTGGTGGAAGGAGCCAGCTTTTCGCCCCAGCTCAGCTGGAAGCAGGTCCTCAGAGTATAGCAGAGGTAGCAGACATGATTTGAAATGAGTCTTGTTTCTCAGTTCAGATATGGAGGCTTTTCTTCTGTTTGTTTGGGTTTGTTTTTCTTTTTCTTTCTTTTTTTTTGTTTGCTTTTTATCCAAGTGGAGAAATACTTGAAAAGCTTATAAAGGGAAGGCTCTCTGCCTTTGATTTCCCACTCCCTTAAAGAGTATGGACCCACCCCAAAGGATATGCACATATCATATCTGGCACATATATGACATTTGTACTGCTATCTCGATGTATGTGTGGTATATATTATATATGCATCGTGTATGTTATATATTATATATGTAATGTTTATATCTATATCTTAACTACTTTTCCCCTTTTTCCATCCTCCCCCCACTTCAGGAATAACTTTGTATGTCTGTTTTGGTAACCTTATCCTCGACCTTCATACTTATGCCAGACTCATTATATTTTTCACAGTCCATTGCATGCCCAGCGTGTCTTTATTTTTAATAAGAGCAGAAATTTCCTTGGCATGAAGCTTTTGAAACTAATTGGATGGAGACAGCCTGCTGAAGACAGTAATGTAATGGGGATGGGGAGAAGGAGCAGGCCTGTATTTCTGCAATAAGCAGTTTGAAGCCATCCAAACTATGAGGACAGGACTCCTGAGAAAGGAAAACCAAGGAAACTGGGGAGAAGAAAGTGGGGGAATTCTCTTTAAAAGGCTCTGTGTCATGAAAAATCCAAGTTTAAGCAAGCCCTGGGTCCTGACCTGGGACCTCTGAAATGCCGGTCATGGCGAGTGCTTATAGGCAGGGTGCTGACTGGGTGGTGGGAGGAGGAAGGAGCTGTGTTTGTCTCTGAGCTTGTATAATCACTGGATTCAGCTAGGGCCCAGTTCTTTGCCAGGGGGATTGAAGCCTCTAGCCTCCTCCCCACCTCCTTCCTGTAAAAAAAAAAAAAAGGAAAAATTCCCTTTTTTTCTTTCTGAAATTTATTCCTGTTCCCTGCCTTTTTATAGCTAGACCTTTTTTGGTAACCGAGGCACTGTCTCTGAATTCCTACATTAAGGGCTTTTGGGTTAGGATGGGAGACTCCCCACCTCAGAGTCTGGTCTTTCACTTTCATCCCTGTACCAGAGTCCTTGACTGCAGCAGAGAGGTGAAGTATTATTTTCCCCCTTGGGGAAACAAGGGGAAATGGATCTGTTACCCCCTTGCTCGTCTTGATCCCAATGGTCCTCTGCTGGTGAGATCCCTGGAGAGGACCTTGTTTACCTCAGGACTGTTGCCCAGTCTGCCTGGGAGGGGATTTTGTTGAGAGCAAAGGGGTTAGGTGGGAGGGAAGGCATCTAGAGCCTCTTTACCTGGCTCCAGGGACTGTTGTCAGGATTGCTCTTTTTCCCCCCCGCTGAAAGCAATTGATGAGAACTGCTTTGTCACATCATCATAACCAAGCCCATGACATATGGTACCTGGGAAGGGCTTCGCAGCCATTGTTGATTTGGGATCCCAGGGAAATGGGATTAGGTCTATTTGACCAGTAGGGGAAACTGGCTCAACTAGGGGAAGACCTTGTTCTGGTCTTTTCACATCAGGTTATAGAGGCTAGATCTGAAGCTTTGGACCTGTCTGTTCCCTAGTCTCTTGTTGAGCCTGAGTCAGAGGCTCCTGGGAGTGGGGTAGGGAGGAGCCAATATACAAGGCATTTATAGAGCTTCTACTAAGTGAGTTCTATGCAAGGTGTCCTGGGTAAATGCAGGCAAGAAGGAGTTAAGGATTCTGCCTTCAGGGAGTTTACAGTCATGGTAAAGGACTTATAAAAAGACAAACAAAACAACAAGGCCACATATATTTATATGCATGCATATGCACATACATGTGTGTACATATAAACATAATATACATACACACATAAATATACACATGTATATGTGCATGTGTATATATGTAAATATAAAATGAATGTACTGGACATATGCCCTAGGAGCTTAGAAGAGGTAGAGAAATATAGAATATCAAAAATGAAGGGTCTTTCCAGGTCATTTATTTCAGCCTTCTCATTTGCAGATGAAGAAACTTTCATTTAATAATTTAAGCCCTTAACTTTCAATAACATTGTGAAGTAGGTAGTACAAATGTGACTATTCTTACTATACAAAGGGAGTGGCTGAGGCTTTGAAAATTCTTGTGGATAGAGTGTCAGCCTTTGATTCAGAAGACCTGGGTTAGAATCCTGGCTTTAGAGACTTTTGAGGCCTCAGTTTCCTCCTTCGTATCAGGTATAATAATACCAACCCTAAATATTTTACAGGGTGTTTTTGAGAAGAAATTTTTTAATGAACCATAACACACTATGTGAATATATGATTTTATTATTCAGTGACCAGCCCAAGGTCTCACTCCTAGGCATTGGTGGGGCTGGAACTTGAATTGGGATCTCCTAACTCCAAGTCTGGTGTTCTTTACCTTATACCAAGATAGCCCTTGGCTCCTTGGAAGACGTCATTGAAGAAGTAGGACTTGACTGAGACATTAAAGGATCAGTCACCTTTATTTTTGTATCCTCAGCATCTAGCACAGCACCTCAGTTAAATGCTTTGCGAATTGATTGGGTAGGATTCAGAAAAGTGGAGAATGGGTGAGAGCACAGTAGTCATGTGAGTAAAAGTGAGGAGGCAGGAACGTTTGTGATCTGTTTGGGGAAAAGTTAAGTAGACCATTTTGGTTGAAACGGCCTCTTCCCCTGATGGCCCACCATGGGTTACATAAAGACCTGTGTGGCCAACTATTCCTGAAGTCTTACCATGCCCTTTTAGTTCTTGACCAATTAGCTTATAGCTTTTTGGGTTCTACTATCTCCTGCCTTAAACTCCTTTTCTCCATATCAAATCTAGGTGCCTATATGTCCATATCTTCCAGCCAGGGTTTCCTACAGACCATGAAAGTCTAGACTATATACTAGTCAGTCCGTCAGCAAGCATTTATTAAGCTCCTACTGTGTGTATGCCAGGCCCTGGGGATACAGATATAATGAGAGCTTACATTCTGTAGTGGGGGACTGCATCAGGAAGCAGCATGGTAGGGGAACCTCAGGCTCAGACCCATTGCTTACCATGTAAATACCATGGACTGTCTCATGTGGCCTTCTGTTTGTGGCCTGTAGAAAAAGCTGACAGTGGGGGCAGCTAGGTGGCAAAGTGGATAGAGCATTGGCCCTGGATTCAGGAGGACCTGAGTTCAAATCTGTCTTCAGACACATAACACTTACTAGCTGTGTGACCCTGAGCAAGTCACTTAACCCCATTGCCTAGCCAAAAAAGAAAAAAGAAAAGAAAAGAAAAGAAAAAGCTAACAGTGGCCTATGACCCTGAAGCTGTAACAGGAGGCCAGTTTCAGAGAAGGGGCTGACGCAAACAGGAAGGTCCTTATACCTTCATGCTTCTGTTCTTCAGACAGCCTGACCCTTATTAGGTTTTATAGGGTAGCAAGCACTTGGGAGGCCTGTTGGTACAAGAAGGAAGGGCGTCAGAAAAGGTTTCCTGACTCCCCATTCAAACAGTCTCTACCTCTTAAGATAGGGGTGGTCCTCTCACTTGTGTTGTTCTTACTGAGGGAACTCGGGCAGGTTAGTCTGCCCTAGGGTAATGGGCAAAACTGTGATATTGGGGAAAGGTCTGGCTTGGTTTTCTAGAACCAAAACAAAGAAAATTGAAGCAAACACCTAGTGAGTTTTAAGGGCAAGAAAGAATTTAGAGCAGGAGTGGGGAACCTGCGGCCTTGAGGTCCTTGAGTATGGCACTTTGACTGAATCCAAATTTTACAGAACAAAAAGATTTGTTTTCACAAGTAATAATAACCCAGGGTTTTCCCTCAGTTGATCCCTCTTTTACAAGGAAGGTAAAAGCAAACCTTAAGGATGGACAGTCTTCACATATTCTAGATGGAAGAATGGAAGCACAGACCTGTGAAGGGACCTAGGTTCAGGTCTCAGTGCTACTGCTTTATCACCTATAGAGGCTTGGACAGCTTATTTCACTTCTTTGAGTTTCATATTCTTCATCTGTAAAATGTGGGGGTTAGATGAAGATGATTTCTGAGGTTCTTTCCAGCTCTGAGTCCCAGGGCCCTGTTAGAATCTTTTGTTTCCTTCAAACCTCAGTTCAAACTACCCCTTATGTGAAGCCTTGCCCGATTTCTCCCCAACCTCCAACTGCTAGTGTCTTCTTCAACTCACCTTGCATATATTTTGTATATAGTTATATGTATACATGTTGCCCTTTCTGATAGAATATAAGCTCCCTGAGGGTAGAGACTTTAATTTTTGTTTTTGTAGCCCCAATGCATACATAATAGGCTGCCAGGTACATGGGATAGGATCAGGGATAGTATTGGACCTCTAATCTCATTAGTATAGGAACTCTGAGGGAGAAA